TATATATATATATATATATATATATATATATATATATATATATATATATATATATATATATATATAATAATAATAATAATAATAATAATAAATATTCTGGAGGTCGTCGGCAGCTCTCCTCTCACGACCTCCGGCAACTCCGTCAGCTAGGCAGATTTAAATGGGGGTCCTCACTCCCTCTTGGGGGCACCATTTGGTCACCAATTGGTCCGGGAGACATCTCCCGTCGCGTAGGGTGCAGTTGCGCCTCCACAGATCTCTAGTATCATCTTTTGATACTGGTAATGGCTTAAAAGGGCCGCCACTTACGGGCTATTCATGCCCGTGCCACCTCTTGGGTAGCTTAATGTTCATCAATCAATCAATCCCTCTCGGGGGGGGGGGGTACTTCTTCAACGTCGACCTCTTCACCAACTGCCACGTCGTCCACACACTGTCTTCTTCAACAGTCGTAAATACTAGCTGCCCTGCAGCCTTGGGAGGGTGAAAAATGATCTACCTTATCATTCCAGTTCACGACGCCTGTCCCTTGATGGTGTGAGGTTCCCACGGTTCCAGGTCGCTCCTCGGCGATCCAGTAGTGTGTTGCAGGGTCTCAGGTGTCGTGAAGTAATCGCGTCCTTTCCATGCTACTCCCTAGAGTTCAGGTATTCCAATCCTGGTCCAACCAGTGGTCACTGAGCCGGTCACAGTATGCACACGTTCCTTCCACGAGACGCTTTCTCTTTGATCTAGAAACAGTGTATTCTCTCCATTGCCTCAGTAGATGTGACCCGGTCATTGCAGACCTGCTCGTCTACCAGCCATACTCGTGGGCGTCAGACATACCCTCCCGAGTCGTCGCTGACCGATATGCTCAAGTCTTGGCACTTCTTTGCCCACTAAACTTGGCTTTTTCCTCCTCCCCAGAAGCACAGTATCTTCAGCATTAATGGTAGACTGCGATGGCTTCATATAATCCAATGAGCGAGGCTCCCAGAGCATCCAACCTTGAGAGCTCTTCGACACACATCTGCTCGCGTCCACAGTCAGATCAGCTCCGAGTGACGTCTCCGCCAGCGCAAAGCCAGGGCTCTTGGTGACGTCATGGCGGGCCCCTGATTGGTCGGCCGCTCCACGTGACCTTGGCCAGCCAATCCCAAGCCGGCTGGGGATTGCAAAGAAAATGACGGATTTGAAGGCAGGGGGCGCCATTTTGTATGTACCAGGAGCACGACCTCCCCCCTTACCTACAAACCTATAAACACAAATTTCTTCCTAATTATGTGACCAATTCGGTCATCTCAAATATCAAAAGACTCCCTGCATCTCAGGGAATCAGCAAGGTCAGCGGAGATGACTCTTAACGCCGGATTTTGGGAAAAATAGGAGGGGGGGTTCCACAACAGGATAATGAGATAATTTGACGGAGAACTAATATAAACAAATCATACCACGAAGTTATAGAAAATTGCAGACCACTTGCACTATACATCAACAGATTCTGGCACTATCCAGGATATAAATAACTCTATATATGAACTGATACAACATAGCCAACATACTTGTTATGCCATTATATACATCACACATTCTTTAGTTGAATTTCAGGGAAAATTTTGAGTGGCTAGTGATAAATGAGTGCCTAAAAAAAGTTTACTGACTGGGTGATTCGTTTCAAATCGAAGAATATCATTAGTTTGTGAAGTATTTCTTCAAGTGTGGATGTGGACATCAGGCCAGGTAGGAGATTGCAATGAACGAGAGGTTGGACTCCAAAGATACTTCTTGAATATTTCTTCCATAACTGACCAAGGTCAGCATTTTGTAGGTCCCATAGTTCACATCCATACAAGCTCATACAATGACTGTTAAACGACTTTACTTTTGACCAAGTGTCAACTTGACCAAATTCACTTATAATGACATTTGTTCTGATTTTCAAGTCGCTAATAGAATCAGAAAAATTGGGAAGTGTGCCCTTTGAGGATATATTATGCCGCATATGCTTTACTGAATTCTTTACCAGAATCTCTCAATTTAGTAATTTTTTCTAGATCTTCATAAAACGAGTCCCGTGAGTTAAAAGAAAAAGGTTTATGTCAATTCGCGAGATTGAGTGTAAGGTTGTATTCTGCAGTATATCTTTCGCATAGTTCTATCAAGTTTTCCATAGCATCTTTGGGCGCTTCATATAGAGAGGTCATGTAAAGGTCGCTTCTTTGCACGCTTCATCAGCATAAAAGAAAACATTGGCTTAAGAAATGCCCAAGAGACAGCCAAGTCCACTGACTCTTAACGCTTTCAACAATGGATCTAAACAGCAACAATATAAGTCCCAGAACAGTACCTTGTTTGACCCCATTTTTAGCGAGAAATACTCAGAAAACATTACTCTATTTTCAGATTCATGAAAACTTGGCTTATTAGGCAAATCGGGCCTTGCATAGTAGGCTGAGAAGTGCGTTCTGGCTACTAGGTACGACATATATATATATATATATATATATATATATATATATATATATATATATATATATATATATATATATATATATATATATATATATATATATATATATATATATATATATATATATAGATGACAGGATGTACTCTTCTGCTAAGCAGTTCTCTAAAAATGTTTGAGTGCTCAACTTTAGAGGTGTGTCAGTACTACATGTGTTTATTTCAGATGGCGAAGTATCATAGTTATCTGTGAATACATTAAACATATTACGAGCCAGGGGGGAATCGTCCATGACATTGGTTTTCTTTTGACACGATCTTTTGATTTTTCCTATTTCACCCGAAAATTCAAAAATCCTTTTCTTGAAACGTTATCGGCAACCTTTGATCTCACAATATTATCCTTCTCTTTCTTAATCTATTTTTTCGGTTAAAGTACATACATATATATTGATTTGCAAGCAGAATGTTGGATTTCTTGATAGAGCTAGTATATACTACTCTCAACTATTCACTATGGCCTCTGCTCTTCTGTATGACCTGATAATATTAAACCCTAGTGTGTCTGATCTGGGGTATCCAACCATCTCTGGGACACGTAGTATCTTTTCATAGGTTATGCTAAAAGATAGATCTATATTCGGATTCCCTAACGTGATCATTCAAACTATTTTAAGAGAATGAAACCCTCTTCCTCCGCCCTAACTAGCAATGAAATAGATGCAATAAGAGTCACAGAGATTGATGAAAATTACATTGAAGATTATTGCAGGCAATTGCATCAGTTATAATTTTAATATTATCAAGTTTTCCATTAAGTATAGGCACTTAAACTTGTCCAGGTCAATTGGAGTTACTTTTCCCAAGATTAGATGTGCTCTAAAGTTTCTATTTTCACTGGCAGGAGCAACTTTGTGAGTGAGGTATACTGAATGTGTCTATAACAGGAAGATGTCTGAACAGATTGTCATTCACTGATAATCTTATACTCACAGATATGACCAGTTAGATCATCATCAGAGAGAAATTCATTAATATGAAACCATCCTCTCCTATCCCATGACAGAAAACTGAAGTCAATATAAAATTCATTTTTGAAAGCAGGATTGTGTAAATTTTCAGTATCCATGAGCACATTAGGCAAGCTTTTAAAGGCATCTTGTCGAGTAAAATTTGTGTTATAGCCACCTACCACCAATAAGTTAGCACCATGATAAGATTTAGCCAATTCAGATATTTCAGCTAGCACATCAACCTCTTCCAACAAATTTACTCTACACCCAACTCTTCTGACGCATTGTTAGAACTCAACACAACTGTAATTATGTCTCCAAAATTAACATTGTTTCGTCACAGGAATAAATAATGACAATTTGCCCCAATCCTCTCTCTACCCGTAACACTCAATTAATGTCTGACTGGCAACCGTCCTGCACGTGAGACATGTTTCCTCTTGAGGGTTCAATACATCAACTTTGGACAATTCCACCTATTGTTGACGTCCTCTTGAGCGCCAATTCATGGAACCTGTGGATTTCCTAATACAGACCACTACCTGGTTTTCCTTTAATCCCATGGTCTAAGGTATATCTTTTCAGGCCAATACTATCACAGAAGCAAAGCATCTATACATGTCTCGTTAATTAAGATCAACCTTTAAGAAATATACTTTTATTCATACTTAGAAATTATATTTGAAGAGACTACACTGACTCCATTTGACTCAATGTATTTCTCAAGCTTGCTTCAGTAATAAGCAGACGATGAGTCACAATAAAGAAGCTGAAGATATGATGACCAAACCAGACATTAGAAAATGGAGAAACGACGTTTTGGACCATACAGGATCACACGACTTGATACTGGTCCAGGACGGACCTAAACGTCGACGTTTCTTAATTTTCTGATGTCTGGTTTGCTTGAGTAACATGCCTTAAGGCGATATACAAATACATTGGTAATCTGAGGTATCCCAGCATACATACCATGAACATTGACAATATTTTCCTAACAAATTATGTCTGTGCTATGCTGTGATGAGCCCTAACTCAGTGACGTTGTTAACATGAATCAGTATTCATAATTTTTCAATTACGTTTCTTTCAATTTCTGGTTTGGGGTCCAAAGACTCAAACAAACCTCTGTAACAGTAAAGGCTTCAGAAGGCCTGTTACTGTCTCAAGGTTATCCTGGATTGGGGAAGTTTAACCAAGCTCACCTAATCTTCGCTTCCCTGACGCGAAGATTCCTTCACTTCCCAGACCTCACCAATCATCCCCATCCTCTGTTCATAAAAACCTAACCACTAGACATGCTTACCCATCTAGCCAACCAAAATAGACTCAAGCACATTCTCGCGTCTGGGTATATTTCTTCTAACCAAACACAACGAATTATATATATATAGCCATTTTCTTTTTCTGTATGTAAGGTCTCTATTAGCTTATTTCTTGTCTGCTTGTGCACAGAAACCTGTAAACCTGTAATATGTTTACATTGTCACTCAGTTGCAGAAGACATACTGAATATTTGCTTATTATATTTATCTAAAATTGTCGTGTTTCTCCACAGTACCGCCACCACCACAAGACTGCGAAATATCTGAACTTGTAAAAGGAAAAGTGCAAGTCCAGTGGAAAGACCCGGACTTTGAGTGTGACATTACCAACCACAGTATCCTGTGGACATGGGACGTGTTGTGGAGTGACGAGGAAGGGTCAGTGGAAACCTTCACCACGTCTAACAAATCTACACTGAGTGGTGTCACACCCTGCTCCAACGTCACAGTGGAGATAAGAGCTGGCAGTTACGGAGTCTTCAGTGCACCCTTATATTGCTGGGTGGTTACGCCTGAAGACAGTATGTTTTCTTTGCTTAAATTAAGTTGTCATTGTCTGAGTACATCAGCTTACCACTGAACTGCCTTCCCACTGCCCCCCCCCCCATCTACACAGCTAAATACTTTGAAATCAAACATTAAAAAAATCTTATATTAATATTCAACACTACTCACTTATCTCTGGAAAATTAACCTAAATTTCCTGATGTCCACACGTTGCCCGTAGCCGCATAAAACAGATGATCGTCCTACAACCTCATACACTTCTAAAGCCACGCCAATTTATCAGAAAAAAGAGGATAACTAATCTGTTTCTTACTATTTCACATTTGTTAAGTTCCTCTCATTGGCGATCACCCACCTTTTCCACAATTATATTTTAATAAGAGAGAAAGACAGACACACGGACAGAGAAATTGCATACAAATGCCACCGGTAATTAAAGAACCTAAGCAAACCTGTCCAAAGCATAAATTACTAATCTTGGGCCTTGGATATGCTCTCTTAGGCTTAATTTAGTAAATACATATAACAGACAGACACACAGAAAGACAGGCAGACACAGATTGACAGAGACAGAGAGAAAGTAGAAGATGGATAGATGGAAAATTAATAGAAAGATAAATTGATAGATAGATGGATGAATAGATGGACAACTGGATCGATAGAGGGATAAATAAATGGATAGATACATGAGTAGAAGCATGGTTATAGACGGATATGTAGATTGATGGCTAGATAGATAGGAAGATGGATGGATGGGTAGACGGATATATAGATGGATGGATGGATCCAAATTTAGATCCAAAATAGATGAGTAGATGGAAAGATAGATGAATAGATGGAAAGATAGATGAATAGATGTAAAGATAGATGAGTAGATGGATGGATAGAAAAATAGATGAATACATAGATATATGAATAGATAGACAGAGAGATGGATGTATAGAATGACGGATATATGGAAGAATAGATGGACAGATAGATAGATGGATGAATGGATTTATAAATGAATGGATAGGAAGAAATAGATAGATAGATGGATAGAAAGATAAATAGACGAATAGATGGATAGATAAATGGCCAGATGGATGGACAAATAGGTGATAGACGGGTATATGGATAAATAGATGGATGGATAGAAAGATAGATGGATATAAATATGATTGATAGATGGGCAAATAGAAATATAGGTTTATGGCTAGACAGATAGATAGACGGAGAAATAGATGTACAGGTCCACGGAGAAATAGATGGACTGATGGATGGACGGATTGATAGATATACAGATCGAAGACAGAGAGACCCGGACAACGTCGGGTATGCCCATAGTATAATATATGATATAGGTTCTCCATGTACAATTGGTTGCGTTCTCGACTCACAATCAATTCATCCTGCTATTTATTATATATTTATTCCATGTATTCTGTCACATATATATTCCTGACTTTAGCATACTTCAGCCAGTGTATGCTATATATTGTTATGTATGATATGTTTCTTTTGAATTGACATTACAAGTTTTAATTGTTTCATTTCCACCCACGTTCTTCAATGTTCATTTATCCTATTGATAAGTGATGAATATTTTGAAAAACTAAGTTTCTGGTGACATTGTCTCCCTCGCACTCACAGTATAATGTATTGTACCATTGTCTCCCTCACACACCCAGTATAATGTATTGTACTATTGTCTCTCCCACACACCCAGTATAATGTATTGCACCATTGTCTCCCTCACACACCCAGTATAATGTATTGTACCATTGCCCAACATTGCCTCCCTCACACGCACCCAGTATAATGTATTGTATCATTGTTTCTCCCACACACCCAGTGTAACTTATCACAGCATTGTCTCCTCAGTTCCAGGGCCGCCAGAGAACGTGAGAGTAAATGAGCTTTAAGTCGTTCTTCATATATGAATCAGCGTTACCCCATCCACACTTCGTCTGGAGTTGACAAACCCTACTGCACCACTGAACATTAACAGTGAAAATCCTGAATTTCTGCCCCTCGTGTTATATGAATGCTAAATAAATAAAAATTGTATCACAGTCCTATACATACTTGATCTCACCTCCTCCCTCGTGGCTTCACCATCACCATCACCTCTCTGATATCCCCCCAGCATCACCTCTCTGACCTCCACCTTCTTCACGTGCCTGTTCTCAGCCATCCGCTGCCTCGCTGACCTCACCCATTCCCCCTATGGAGTGACGAGGGTCAACTGAAACCTTCACCACGTCTAAGAACATATCTGGATCCGGAGTACCTTTATCTCAACAATGAAAGTAGTGTCTGGGCGAAAAGGAATATTGTACGTGATGAAAAACAAAGTTAGGTAGTTGCCATGTTGAAGAGTAAGGGTACTTTCATGTCAGTAGCTGCAGAAGTGCGGAGAAAGGAGCTGTTTTACATTGCTGAGAGTCTGTGTCTAAGGGGCTTTTGCTTCTCAGTTAATCTGCAGGAAAGTGTAAAGTTAGGGGATTGAAAACTCATAAAAAATATGGTGTGACGATAATATCTTGGAACGTTAACAGGTTGAAAAATAGAGCAGTGAATTTGCATTATTATCATATACCCTTAGACAGAATCTTGACCTAGTATGATTGAATTCTTGGGAGCACCCTATTTTGTAATATGTATTATGTGATAACTGTTGAATTAAGGTAAATGTATTTGTTATGTATATTATTATCTGCCTACTGTATGGAATTGTGAGCCACTTGAGGGACTTGAAGTAGTTGAGGGCAGAAATAGCTTAAGCTATTTTATCCTTTTTGGTTGGCCAGTCAATACAGTAATAAAGCAAAGGAAAACATTACCAATTTTATTCAAAGATGTAATTTGGAAATATCATTAAATAACATAATTATTTATATTGTAAAACAAAACCATTGAGCCATGTGCAGAAAGATATGTGTTTCATAGGCCTTCCTTAAATTATAAATATCTTGAATTATCTTGAATTAATTTAAGAGAGCTTCGTTCATCAAGTGTTATGAATATGTCTATACGTCTCAATAACATTTAATAGATTCCTTGTTCTTATCCTAATAAACATGTTTATATTAACAATGACATAATTAGTTCCACCAATTATATTCAGTTTGATATAGTTAATGCTTTATAGTTACTGGAAGGAGACTGAGGCTCCTAATTTAATGTTTCAGTGATAAAGTTCACACATTGCAATACCAAAAGAAAGAGACTTTATTATTAAAATTTGAATTTCAAGTTTTGTCAAAAGAAAATATTATTCTAAGAGGAATTATCACGTTTTGTTGTGTTTTGCAGTTAGGGTAACAGTTATAATAATGTATCAGGTAAAAATATATTTCCCCTGACTTTTTCCCTTATATTTTTTTCAAATAGAAGATGTGAAGCCCTCGCCTGAAGCCTATGCAAATATATGGAAGGAAACGGATTTATGACACTTTACAGAACCTCCCACTGTCATTACCTCCAACAGTGAATATCTCTCACGGTCACTATCTCCCACAGTTAATACTTTCCACAGTCAGTACCTCCTTCAGTGAGTATCTCTCTCTCACAGTCACTATCTCCCACAGTCAATACCTCCCACAGTCATTATCTCTCACAGTCAATACCTCCCACAGTCAGTATCTCTCACAGTCACTATCTCCCACAGTCAATACCTCTTACAATCAGTATCTCTCACAGTCAATACCTCCCACAGTCAGTATCTCTCACAGTTGTCACATCATTACCCTCTAACACGGGGTTTTTGCTTCCCCATTGCAGTCTCTCTCTAACTCTAGTTTCATTCAGGGGATAATATTACCTTTATCTGTACAAAGTCTGTATTATAACAATTTCCACAATATTTCTCTAGTCATGTGACTTTCACACGACTAGTGTTATCCATAAATCAGGAATGGATCACACGGTAATTACCCGCAGAGTTGTTAACGGTTAACATAATTCACCCCAACTACCCCTGTGGGAGGGGGTGAGGCCCCCCTCGTGGGATGAGGAGCCGGTGTGGTCAGACGGTGTTGGGCGCTCGTTTGGTGACGAACTAAGATCCATAGGTCTTAAGAACTGCTCAAGCAGTTGGTAAGAGTCGTAGGTCTGGTAGAATAACTTTGTATTTTGTTGTTTGTAAAGTCATTTATTTATATTTTCTCGTTTTTTGTTGTTTTTACTTTTTCACTATTTTTACGGTTACAAGACAGATGTATTGCAGGTGTTAAATTTTCGTTTTATTAAAATAACATTTTCTTTAATTTTGGGTTTAACGTTAATCCTGTTTATTAATAGCACATTGACTTAAATACAGCATATTGTTTTTATGTTGTGTAGAGTCGGAACAGAGTCGGAACCAGTAATCGTTAGCACAGCGCCTCGCAGTTTGTGAAATCGTGAAATCATCCTATGAAATCGTATGATTTCTCCCACCGACGAAAGCAACCCCTGGCGCCTCACTCTCCGACAATTGAGTGGTAGGCTTATCACCGGTAACTGACGCTTCCCGTGTTGAGCCATCCCCAAGGCGATGAAGGAGTATCCTCTCCAGGGCACAGGCCTGGGCAGTAATTATGGAGAACTGACTATTGCCCATGCAGCAGATCCACCCATCTCTACGCCACCGATGTGATCCAAGGGAAGGGCAGGCGCCGAAACGCTTGGCACCAGTGTCGTCGCTGGAGTTGCCAGAATGTAGCTGTAAACAGCTGAAAACTGCTTTAGGGACTTCGACTCCGGATTTTTCCTCGGGATTGGCTCCCGAAGCCTTTCCCATGAGTGGGTTTAGCCGCAAGACAGCAGAGGTTTGTATTCGGGTTTTTTCTTCTCTTAGACGAGACTGCCTCCGGCAAGCCTTAGCATGACACGGGTGAGACAAGCGTCCACAGAGGCTCTGTATAAGGTAGACATCAGGACAAGAACTGATCTGTACATAATTACTATGGATACGACGAGATAAAAGTCAATAGAGTGCCATAGGAGAGACAGATGTGTAAACTGGAACAGCCTAAAGGTCCATAGCAAGACGAAAGATAAACAAGTGACCACGGAACGCCCTGGGTGATACAGATAACTCATACATCAAAATTTTGCCACGATAAGACCATTACTGAAAGAAAACTGACTGACCACACTATTTTGACTGGACGTGTGGCCAGTCAGTACAGTAATAGAGCAAAGGAAAAAAATTGTTATATTTATTCGAAGATATAACTTGGAAATATCATTAAATAACATAAATTTTAGGTTGTAAAACGAAACCAATCAGGCACGTGCTGATGATGCGTTTCATAGGCCTTCTTCCTAAGCTTATAAATGTAATTTTGAATTAATTTAAGAGAGCTTCGTTCTTCAAGTGTTATGAATATATCTATAGGTTTCAAGAATGTTTAATAAGTAACATTTCTTGCTGTTATTCTAATATAAATGTTTACATTAACAATAAAAGGATTAGTTCCTCCAAGTATATTCAATTTGATATAGTTAATGCTTTATATTTATCGGAAGGAGACTGAGACTCCTAATTTTATATTTCAATGATAAAGTTCACACATTTCAATACCTTAAAAGAGAGAGACTTTGTTTTTTAATATTTTAATTTCAAATTCTATGAAATGAAAATGCTATTTTAAGACAAATGATCACTTTTGGTTGTGTTTTGCAGTTAAGGTAATAGTTACATGAATGTAAGAGGGAAAATATTGTATTTTATTTATCAGAGTAAAACTTAAGGCAATATTGAATCAGCTTAATTATAATATATTTTTTTTATATAAGTAAATCTCGGCTTTAAATTCCAGGGCTCTTGGCCTTCAGATTGAGGAAAATATATTTATAGTATATTCATTGAACTTTTGTAATGAGTTATGTGAAAATAAACCAGGTTGTGCATACTGACTAAAAACGTTTTTTTTTTTTTTTTTCATTTATTTTGCGTTGATATATATTACAGCTCTTCATACTTTAATAAATAATATAAGTCCAGTTGGACTTCTTGATCAGAGGTCACAACAGCGGATGAGATGATCAGTCCAGAGTAACAGAGGGTTGGCTTCACCCATCAGTAAACGTTAAAGAGTAAGTTTGAGGCTTCATCTGGTTTTAGATTCAACTCCAAGTGGGGCGCGTGTAACAAACTTGTGTTTGGACTGGTGTAGGACTTAAATACTGTCAACCTCTGTTAGGTGTTTTCAGACTCCCAACAATAGCTTATAGAACATCCAGTAATTACGCTTTAGTCATGATTATAGATAAAGCTTAAGGTAAGCTTTCAGTGCACATAACGAGTACCGGAATACTTCTCCCGAACAGGAATCTAATGTGTTTATGATTTAAGTCTGTAGCTCCTGAGGAAAACTTTGAACAGGAGTGGAGAAACTTTCAACAGCACTGACTGTGGGAGAGGTTGACTGTGGGAGAGGTTGACTGTGGGAGAGGTTGACTGTGGGAGAGGTTGACTGTGGGAGAGGTTGACTGTGGGAGAGGTTGACTGTGGGAAAGGAACTAATCGGAGAAAGCTGCAAGCCATTACGACTAATGAATGGGAAATGTTGACTTACGTTACTTAGGGCACCGAGTCGATGCCCAGTTCATGGACTGCTAAACACAACATAAAACCAAAAAGTTGCATTTAAGTCAATGTGCTATTAGTAAACAGGATTAACGTTAAATCCCAAAATTAAAGAAAATGTTAATTTAATAAACCAAACACAAATTTAACACCTGCAATACATCTGCCTTGTACCCGTAAAAATAGAGAAACAAAAAGTAAAAACAAAAATAAAGAGAAAATATAAATAAATAACTTTTTATAAACAAAATACAAAGTTATTTTACCAGACGAACGACTCTTACCAACTGCTGGAATAGTTCTTAAGACCTATGGATCTTAGGTCGTCACCAGACGAGCGCCCAGCACCGACTGACCACGCCGGCTCCTCATCCCACGAGGGGGGCCTCACCCCCTCCCACAGGGGTAGTTGGGGTGAATCATGTTAACCGTTAACAACTCTGCGGGTAATTACCGGGTGATCCATTCCTGATTTATGGAGAGAGAGTCACACGAATAGTCTCGACTCCACGACTGTGAAGAATTTTCATATTACAGACTTTGTACATATAAAGGAAATATTATCCGCTGAATGAACGTAGAGTTACATGGGGAAGCAAGAAAACCCCGTGTTAGAGGGTTATGATGTGACAACTGTGAGAGATACTGTCAGTGGGAGATGTTGACTGTGGGAGGCATTGACTGTGGGAGGCACTGACTGGGGGAGGTACTGACTGTGGGAGGAACTGACTGTGGGAGGTACTGACTGTGGGAGATATTGACTGTGGGAGGTACTGACTGTGGGAGGTACTGACTGTGGGAGGTACTGACTGTGGGAGGTATTGACTGTGGGAGGTACTGACTGTGGGAGGTACTGACTGTGGGAGGCATTGACTGTGGGAGGTACTGACTGTGGGAGGTACTGACTGTGGGAGGCATTGACTGGTGGAGGTACTGACTGTGGGAGGCATTGACTGTGGGAGGTACTGACTGTGGGAGGTACTGACTGTGGGAGGTATTGACAGTGGGAGATGTTGACTGTGAGAGGTACTGACTGAGGGAGGCATTGACTGGTGGAGGTACTGACTGTGGGAGGCATTGACTGGTGGAGGTACTGACTGTGGGAGGCATTGACTGGTGGAGGTACTGACTGTGGGAGGCATTGACTGGTGGAGGTACTGACAGTGGGAGATGTTGACTGTGAGAGGTACTGACTGAGGGAGGCATTGACTGTGGGAGGTACTGACTGTGAGAGGTACTGACAGTGGGAGATGTTGATTGTGAGAGGTACTAACTGAGGGAGGTATTAACTGTGGGAGGTATTGACTGTGGGAGGTACTGATTGTGGGAGGTACTGACTGTGGGAGGTACCGACAATGAGATATGTTGACTGTGGGATAGAGTGACTCTGAGAGATACTGAGAGTACCTGTGAGAGGTACTGACTGTAGGAGGCATTAACTGTGGGAGATAGTGACTGAGAGATACTCACTGTTGGAGATAGTGACTGAGAGAGGTACTAACTGTGGGAAGTTTTATAAAGTGTCATGAAACAAATTGTTTCCTTCCATATGTAACCATAGACTTCAGGCGAAGGCTTCTTACCTTCTTGATAACGATGGTGATGGTGATGGTAGTGATGATGGAGGTGATGATGCTGATAATGACGATGATACAGTAGCTGGCTGTTGATCGTCACTGTATCGCAGTCTGAAATGATAAGCAAACACATATCATGATGAACAATAGGTTTTCTAGGAATAGTGCCGACACTCGCTTGCGAGAGGCACAGTTATCTTGGCCACTTCAGATATTGTACCGATAAATGCGATAAGACCGGCCATTACTGAGGCATCACAGATTGCAACTAGTTCTTCACCACAGCTAGCAGCACCACAGCCAGTTCTTCACCACAGTTAGGAGCACCACAGCTAGGAGCACCACAGACAGTCCTCCACCACAGCCAGCAGCACCACAGACAACAGCAACATGCTGTGCTTGTCTGTACTGCTGTTGGACGTCCTCCTGCTGACTGCTGCCACCCAGGACAGTGAGGAGCAGCAAGTAGGTCACATTGGAGAAAAGCCGTCGACAGTGAGAGGTTTGGGTGGTTGACCAAGGCGAAATGTTTACAATAGGGTTGGTGGTCTTTGGGTGTCTGGTGGGTTTTCGTCAGGGGATAGGTTGTGGAGCTGGCGTCCCGGCTCAGTGTTATGTCGTGGTGAGGGAACATGGCAGACTTCCTGGTTGGTTGTGTCGTGCTGATGTTTCCCGTGGTGTGTCGTGTCCTTGGGGATGCTGATGTTATCTCTCTTAGGCCTTGAGTGATAAAGTTTTCACTTTTTGAATTATCCTAGTTTTCTAGCCATTAATTTACTATGTGCTATTATGGTGGCGGTCGCCTAGGGGTTAGTCCGGCCGTCCACGTAGTACGGTAAGGATTTGATATAATACCAAAGACAAAGACATACGTCTTTGTCTCAAGAGACTTGAGACTTAAGGTGACTACAGCTCACCTTGAGCTGTAGTCTTTTGGGAGGATGGTCGAAGCGATGCTGGGCTTCTCAAGATAGGTAGGATGGAAGACGAGCGAGGTCCTCGTAATACAGCCAATATGGGTTTTCCAAATCCTAGTGGGTGCAGTATCAGGTGCGATTGTCTTCTGTTTGCTTCTGCCCCCTCCAGGCGTGTGCGTGGGAGGTGCGCAGAGACGCTGCCCACGGCCACCGTCCAATAATCAGGAGCCCAGCTGTACCAAAGATATAAAATGCTCCCGCTGGCGGCACTTTGAATGTGTTGACCAGACCACACACTAAAAGGTGAAGGGACGACGACGTTTCGGCCCGTCCTGGACCATTCTGAAGTCGATTGTCTTGACTTGAGAATGGTCCTGGATGGACCAAACGTCGTCGTCTCTTCACCTTCTAGTGTGTGGTCTGGTCAACATACTTCAGCCACGTTATTGTGACTCATCGCCTGCACTTTGAATGTGGTTCCCACCACACTATTTAGAAAGCAACATCTATCATCTATATTTCAAAACAATTTTGCTTTTATCTACTTTAGTCCACATGTTATGTTCAGGGTCCAGGCAATTTTTTTTGGCCTCAATGACATCCAGCCTCGGCTGACAATGTCCGTCGAAGCTCCGTGACCGTCTGGTGGAGATGTTCTTCAAGGCCTCACCTAACTTCATTAGGTTTTGCTCACATCTTTCATTATTTACATTTGTTTGACATCAGAATTCTCTCTCACATCGTCTAGTTTCTACAGGAAAATTCTGTTCGTGTCCACTTGTGTTTCTGCGTTCTCACTAAGCACTGTCTTCCTCTGTGGCAGCGTCTCTGGATCCAGGTTTCTGCAGGTCTACCTGTGTTCGTCTCCCTCTTGACGTGTTCCCTTCCTTTGTCTGCTTCTTGCAGACGTCCTGCAATAGCCGCATCACTTCCATCTTTTGTTCGAGTTTTCACTCTGTTGATTTGTTGTTGCGTCTATAAACGATACTTTTGTGGCCTTCTTTCTGTTCCTTCTTAATACCTTCCTTGTGTGTGTGTACTCACTTAGTTATACTCACCTAGATCTGCCTAGTTGTGATGGGGACTCTCAACTGTCAATCAACTGATTTTTTTCCCAAACATACACCCAGGAAGCAGCCCGTAGCTGCTGTCTAACTCCCAGGAACCTATTTACTACTAGGTAAACAGGGGCATCAGGGTAAAAGAAACTGTGCCCATTGTTCACATGCGTGTGTGAGCCTATACACATGCGTGTGCGCGCGCGTGCGTATTCGTGTGTGCGTATGCACCTGATAAGACAAGCTGTGATTCAAAGTCGGGTCTGTCAGTCCAACAGACACATCCACAGTAAACATCTTCAAGTGCTAGGGTGACACTAGGGTGACACTAGGGTGACACTAGGGTGATACTAGGGTGACACTAGGGTGACACTAGGGTGATACTAGGGTGATACTAGGGTGACACTAGGGTGACACTAGGGTGATACTAGGGTGACACTAAGGTGACACTAGGGTGATACTAGGGTGACACTAAGGTGACACTAAGGTAACACTAGGGTGACACTAAGGTGACACTAAGGTGGCACTAGGGTGACACTAGGGTAACACTAGGGTGACACTAGGGTGATACTAGGGTGACACTAAGGTGACACTAGGGTGACACTAGGGTGACACTAGGGTAACACTAGGGTGACACTAGGGTAACACAAGGGTAACACTTGGGTGACACTAAGGTGACACTAAGGTGACACTAGGGTGACACTAGGGTAACACTAGGGTGACACTAGGGTAACATTAGGGTGACACTAGGGTGACACTAGGCTAATACTAGGGTGACACTAGGGTAACACTAGGGTGACACTAGGGTGACACTAGGGTAACACTAGGGTGACACTAGGGTAGCACTAGGGTGGCACTAGGGGTGACACTAGGGTGACACTAGGGTAACACTAGGGTGACACTAGGGTGACACTAGGGTAACACTAGGGTGACACTAGGGTGACACTAGGGTAACACTAGGGTGACACTAGGGTAACACTAGGGTGACACTAGGGTGACACTAGGGTGACACTAGGGTGGCACAATGCAAGTCTTAGCATGTACTTTATCTTTGTATACAAATTAATTAAGTTGATAACCCAGACTGGTGTTTGAGTTATCTGTCTGGCAATAATCTCTTAATCTCACAAATCGATCCTCTACACATTAGGGGGGTTTATATTTATATGTATGCAGCCAATCAAACTACAGTAACTACATACATTGAAGAGGTTCCTTATCTTATAGTACAGCAGGTTAGTCCACCAGGTATAACTAGGGTGTAGACACCAAATTATCCTCTTTGAGGTAGCTTCTATCACCCAGTAACTGGTGCACATAATCTTGCATCCTCGTCTTGACCTGTCAAAAGTGCGCTAGCTGTGAAGCCAGAATCCTATATATGACAAGCTATATCAGAGAAAACACTATACAGTACATGGAACATTAAAGACCTGGCTTAATTACCTTTAGTTTGAGGCTTCCATGTGATCTAACCGGATAACCCCACCCAATGACATTAATGGCCACTAATGATAGATAATGGGTTTCGGATAGACACTTAACTTGAATTTGTAGACAGCGTGTTGACAATGGTACACCTTTGGCTTCCATAACACTACGTCCAAGTAAATTTAACAGGAGCCGAATTTGCTCCCGTGTGAGCC